TTTTATATTATTAAAAATATATATGTGGTAGGTATATAATAAAATATTGCATACATTCACGTCGTTTCAAAGTTATATCGTGCAGAAAAATAATTGATAGTTTAAGAACGCTAATATACCTTCTTTTTTTTAAACCACGAAACTGGTAAACAAGCACACAGTCTGTCACTGTAACCTAAGGAGGAGAGTAATATTGGATGTGTCACGTACGCGTTGCTGTCCCTGAAGAAACCTTAATATGCCCTTTTTGAAGAACCCCATACTGTAGTCTTCAGGGAAAACCTCGGCATGGAGCTCATTCCACAGCCTGAGCGTTCGAATATCATTGCTTATTAGGCATAATTTTTTAAATGATACTCAGAAATTTAATCAAGCTACAGTCCACCTGATAAAAACTGTCAACTGTAGACACAAACGTCACCATAGTAAAAAAATACTATCCTAAAATGCTTTAATTCACATTTCATATCAGCTTTCAACTGTCCACTGCTGTACATAAGCCTTCTTCTTGGTGACTGCGGTTTGGCAACCTTAGTTGGACAATGGAGATGTTTTAAGAGGGACGCTGCTGCCCATCCCTCGCTCTCCCTTAGTCGCCTCTTACGACATCCAGGGGAAAAAATGAAATGGCCTATTCTATACTGGGACCATACAACAGGGGAATTATTTATTAATGATAGATACGCTTTGAACTAATTACAAAACATAAAAATAAAAGAATTGTGCCCACTAATTCTCATTTCCATTTTAAAGACGGTTTACGACCACTAAAATCAGTTACTGCCTCTCGCAGGACTCGAACCTGTGCCGAATTAAATGAATTCCCGTTTACGCCCCGGAAGGAGAACTCGTACTGAATCTTGAACGTCTTTTTGAATATCATTAAAATATCGTCGCTTGTTACCTATCTGAGGTAACAAGCAACGACAGAGAAATTTATATGCGACCGTTGTAACGTTCTATGGTTTTTGGATAAATGTGGCCTCATCATGAATCATAAAAGATAACGATTTAAAATTAGCTTGTAAACAAGTCTATTTGGATAACAATGGTTTCAAGTTTGATTTTGAATTTAATGTGTTTTAATATAGTCCGTGGGTGGGGGGGGGGGGAGGGGGAAGGGATTGTTAGTAATGGAGACTGAGAATCCCATTACTAGTAATATACCCAACCAGGTCGACCTCCTCGCCGTTCCCCCTGGAAACTATCATGGTTAATGCCTGTTGAATTCATCATGATGGGCTAACTGGCCTGTTTTCATTCTCACCTATCACCCTTCACTGGTGCTCCGCCAGCGTATCCCGTTAGCGCAGGCGGGGTTACTATAGCATTTTCACTCAAAAAAAATATATATAGTCCGTGCGTTTAGTTAAATTAAACATTTTTGACAAAATTTTTACTTTAGTCTAAGCAGTATTGAAAATAACTGCTTAGACTAAAGTAATTAATGAATTTATACTTTTAAAATGTACTGAGATAAATACTTGACACAATTTGCAAGGCTTTAGAGAAGGCGAAATGTATAGCACTGTTCACATATATCATATAAGACCATTTGTACAGACAATAAATCAAGCAAATAAATTATTATTATTAGCATTTAAAAGTAAACATTTGAAACAGACAAAAAAGTATACATTTCTTTATATATATATATATATATATATATATATATATATATATATATATATATATATATATATTTATTCATTTTATTCCATTGTTTCTATAAGGAATTAAATATTATTTAAATTAATAATAGGTGAATAAATTATTTATTAATGTGAAACATTTTCAAACACAAAAACAATTGTTACTGTATTACAAATTGGTATACTCAGTTATGTCCATGGTATTGCTCATGTCTATAGGCGACGGTTACCACTTTCCATCAGGTGGGCTGTCAGCTTGTTTGCCATTCTAAGTTGCATAAGAAAAAAAAATATTTTACATATTTACATTAAATAAATAAACAACAATTTAAAATATCAGATAAGAATAAATTGAAGTCAGTCTGGTTATTTAGGTAAATAATATTTATGCCAATCTGATTAATTATTTGCAAGTCATATGTGTCTTGAACCGTGTCATGGCGCAATTCTCTATTTCAACTAAATAAAAACAATTTGCTATAATTTTTTTTAAGTTAGGTATGAAATAATTTATCTGCCTTTTTTATCTATAGATAGATAGATAGATACTCTTTATTGTTTCCTCTAAAAGATTACAATAGTAAACTTATTATAAATATAAACAATTACAAGAAATAATCACAATGAGAAAACAACGGGCGACCTTATCGCTAAGAGCGATCTCCTCCAGGCAACCTTTGGATGGAGAGGAGTAATTATAAACAGATAGACTGTTTATATTTATTAATAAGTAACTAAAATTCGTACGTAAATGTAACACGCTGCAGTGATAACGTTAAATACGTATTTATCAATAATAAATACTAACAATCATTAAAAATTCTAACAAAACACCTCAATTAGACGAGTGTTCGTTTGTTGAAGCAATTATACAAGTTGTATATATTTTTATTCATAATAATTACTTAATACATAATACATAATTATTACATAAGGTTTACCCTACAACACTTTTTTCAAGTATATCGTGTGTATTTTCTTATTATTATTATTCATTATTTAAATATTGGTGTGTATCTATTCATATAGATATGTTCATCATGTCATACAGATATGTATCATTTATATATGTTCTAGCTCTTATATTCCTTACTTCCTACATATAACTGTGACTATGGTTTGAAATGAAAAGGGAATTCACATTACATCAGCTGTTTAGTGTCCACTGTCGAATAGGCATTCACCCATAAGGGTTTTGCCGGTAGTTGCCAACTTTGGTAAGCTGATTGGCAACCGTAGATAGCTTTTGGTGGTATTTTAAGATAGACGCTGCTGTCCATTAGCTGCTGTCTTTAGTCGCCTCTTACGGCACCCATGGGAAAGAAAGGGATGGTTCGTTAGAGACTATATTAGAGACTAGAAGATGAGATATTGGAATAAACTTAAGTCTGAAGTTCTTGTTAAATTTGTCACGATGGACCAACAGCCCTGCATTCGTCCTTATCAATCATCACTTACTGGTACCGCGTCAGTGTATACCGATATTGCAGGTAGAGTTTAGCATTCCATTATCACCCATTAAAAGTCTTTCAACCTTTGGGTTAACCTCCGCGCATTTTCTCTTGGAAACCACGGTGGTTAATTCTTGAATTCATCACCGTGGGCCCTGTGAACTGCTTTCACCTTCACTTATCATCACTCATTTGTACCTCATTAGCGTATACCCATAACGCAGGCGAAACTACAATTCTATTTTTACCCATAAAATCCCCTCAGTCTAAGAGAAGATACAATATACACTATCAGATCGACCTCCACGTGGCCCCCCTATAAATTATAATGGTTAACTCCTTGTTAATTAATCACAATAGTTCAAATAGCTTACAATCATCCTATTTAATTAGTTTTTACTAACAGTGTGTACTAATAGCGCAGATGGGTTACCATTTTATTTAAGTTTTTAAAACAAAAAAACAGTTTTGAAAAACCGCAGCGCATATGGGGTACCATATAAATCACAGTTTTATGCTTTTATTGTTTTATGCAACTTAGAATGGAAAACAAGCTGACGGCCCACCTGATGGAAAGTGGTAACCGTCGCCTATAGACATGAGCAGTACCATGGACATAACAGATTATACTGTTTCGCTCATGATACCTCCCATGCGTTGCCATTCCTAAGGACTCAGGTGTTATTCCTCTGTACCCTGTAAATTCACGCCATATCCCACTCTTCAAACCGAAACACAGCCATGCAAACATAACTGCTTCACGGTTAAAACACGAATGGGACAGAGGTACCCAAGCAATTGACTTTTGTACAAAGTCTCCCTCTGGTAAAGTATTATGTAATAGCTATGATCCTATTTATGATAATAATAATAAACTCTTTATTGCGTACAATAGAGATGTATACAAGGAGTATTTATACAGAATGTGCATATACAAAAGGCGGCCTTATCGCTAAAAGCAATCTCATACAGACAACCTATTTATGTTTATTAGTGACGGTTACTATTTTTAACAGCCATTTTATTTTGCATAAAAATAAAATAAATTTGTTAAGTAATCTTTAACAGGTATGTATGCGATGTAATATAAAGATATGGAGGGATTGTTAGTAAAGGGGAGAAGACAGGTCGACATTCACACAGGTTTCCTCTAGAAACCCTGGTTGTTATTTTTTTTTTTGTGAAATTTCCACAGTTGCCGAAATGATTTGGCTTCATCCTCACCTATTATTACTCACTGATATACCGTCTGTGTATATCGATAACATAGGTGGGGTTACCTTCCATTTTTACCTTCAAAAAAAAATTAAGATATGAATTATATACTCCATGTATGTAAGAATATTTGGAATGAGTATACTTTTATTTTTATTTAATAAGTGGCTATATCCCGCGGATTCGCTCACTTGAATTAGTGTATAAAGTATCATACATGTTTAACTAAGATATTAACCTATCCGTCTACCAAATTCCATTTAAATCAGTTTAATAATTTTTGTGTTAAAAAAACAAACAAACATCTTTATTGTAACTTTCTCACGAACTGCTGCATTTATAATACGGGTAGTAAAGGAAATTTCTAAGAGTTTTTATTATTTATTTAATACTTTATTGCACTAGTATTACAGGACTTTTTGATGAATTTTCAATAAGTATAGTGTGGTACAAAACGCGGTCTTATTGCTGAGCGATCTCTTCCAGACAACCTTTGAACGAATTATACGATTTATTAGTTAAAATTTAATTAATTAGTTACCACTCAAATGTAATAATTACGTAACAAAGTCAAAAGTTAAACGTCGTATTTTTAACAAAAATTTCATAATAGTACATTTAATTTATTTCATACATTATAAAAACAATTATCGCCCAGTGACAGTAAAATAATAGAACTCACCAAATTACTCCTTATAACACATTTTACAGTGCACTCAAAAAAAAAAAATATTATATCTCAAAAACTCAAAGTTGTCAACTTGAGAAAAATCACTTCGCACTTTGAAATAATTTATCACAGCACTTTCGATCTATACATCTGTCACTTCACTGCATTTTTCACGCGCGGAAAATCAACGATAGGGTAAGATACGACCTACCCCCTTGCCGGTGAAACCTTCTCTAACCCCCACCCCCTATTGCGTATACAAGTATATCGTGCGCTCACCGCGCATGCGCCACATCGAGACATATAAATTCCGTATTTATCACTGTATAATTTTTGTGTCACCAACTTTAATTCCGCTAATTTGATTGTATAAAAAATTTTGGACGAACCATGAATATATTAGTACAGCAAACAACCCATGGTCGTACGGAGATTACAATTTGGGGAGAATTTTATTAGAATAATAAAATTTATTATTATTTAATTAATACACGAATTTGTTCGAAACGCCCGGTAGAGTTTGGTTTTCATAGGACGCTGGGGGCTAACTTTTTTTTGTATGTGAATGATTTATTGTCGAAATTGAGCTGCTTTTTCTTAATATATATATATAATAATAGGTATAATTATATAAATATATTTTTTTACTCTAGTAAGTTATGTGATAACACTATTTTGAGCAAATACAGGGACAATGGGGAGAAAGGGATTGTTATACTAGCAACTAAGTCGACCTCCTCGCGGTTTCTCCTGGAAACTATCATGGTTAATTCCTGATGAATTCATCATGATGGGCTAACTAGCCTGTTTTCATTCTCATCTATCACCCTTTCACTGGTGCTTCGCTAGTGTATCCCGTTAGCGCAGGCGGGGTTACCATTCCATTTTCACCCATAAAAAAAAATACAGGGACAATATGGTACATGATTACAATCAATTGATAATTGAAGAATGTGTCCTACAAATCTGATTTCAATTGTGACAAAAACAGTTATTTCGATCTAAAAAATAAACTACTCAACTGATTTTGATAAAATTTGGCACCAATGTGTAAGCAAAAAATATATATTTTCCAAATCGGTTTACAACTAACGAAATTGTGATAAACAACCATAAAAAACAGGGGGGAAGGGATTGTTAGCAATGGAGTTTGACAGCCCCATTGCTAGCAATATGCCTTATTAGGTCTACCTCCACGTGGTTCCCCCTGGAAACCATCGTGAACAATTCTTGTTGAATTCGTCACGATGGGCCAACTGACCTGCTTCATCCTCACCTATCATTCTTCACTGGTGCTCCGCTAGCGTATCCCGATAGCGCAGGCGGGGTTACCATTCCATTATCACCCATTAAAAGAAAACCATAAAAAATATCACCTCTTTGAAGTCGGTTTAAAAGAATATGTCCTACTATCAATAGATGGCTACAATATGCTGGTGTTAAAGTGTTTTTTTTTTTGCTTTTTACCTTTGAACGATACGAGGTTAATGTACTTATCAGCGCTTGTTTTTATTAAATTATCCATGAGGGAAAGCGGTTAGGTTAATCAAGACACAGACTTTGTTCCTCATGATTACATTGACTTCATCCCCATCTATTATCTTTCATTTGTACCCCTCTATTGTTACTATTCTATTATAATATATATATATATATATATATATATATATATATATATACATAATCCACCACGGTTGATTACAGTTCACACTTCAAAAATCACTATCATAATTCTTTATTGCAAAATCTATAATAATACATAATTTTCCAAGGCTTCGCTTATTTTCCGAGACTATTTTTTATACTACTATGGTGGCAGAGAATAATACAGCCCGTCTGATGGTAAACGGGGTTACCGTAGCCTATGGACGCCTGTAACACCTGAATGTTACGCACGCATTGCCGATCCTTAACACGTTGACTGCCATCTACGAGATAACTCATAGATGGCGTTCTTTTCCAGGACGCCATTTTCGAATTCAAGAAATAAAATTATATTTTATGCTTGTTTTTTTTTATGCTTTTTGGTAAAAACAATGCACTAGAATTAGACTTTTTAAATAATATATTGTGATTAAATCAAATTGTTATTTTAAGCCAGATTTCTGAAAATTTCCATGGAAGTCATCGTGTTTTGAAATTTTAATACGCCCTTTTTGAAGCCCATGTTGTTAATGTTGTATAAAAGAACCGATATCATCACGAGCTACCCGAGCTGCGATCCGCAGTACAAGGCGAGACGGTATGACCCAAAGCCCCGTACGCCCCCTGAAGAAGACTTCCGGATGAAGTCGAAGCATCTGTCGGAAACGTTTTCGTGTTCGTGAATTCCATATCTTCAACTCACGTCTGAATGCCTTCAAAAACATTTTACAATCAGCCGTCAAGTCTATTTGACATGTCCATGTTTTTTTTATATTTTTGTTATTTGCATGTACTTCATTGTTATTTACCACATTCATTTGCTTTCTTTATGCAATTTATAATTTAACATTGTTTGCCGACTGCTTTAACCGTGCTGTGTGTACACCTGTCTGGGTCTCAATCTAGTTCATACTATAGTCTTTCTATAAATGTTTATAACGTTATTGATTGTGACCTGTTGTGTATGCCTTTTAAATAAATTAATATTTACTTTTATATGCCTATGTATATAGACATCGTATTAAAAAATGTGCATAAGTTTTAAAAATAGTATTGTATAAAAATCGATTATTAATTAATCGATAGTTTTTACCCAGAATAATCGGAATATCGATCAGTTGATATGAAAGTGTGTAATTTAATCGATTTATTATCTAATGATTAATTTTAGTCGAGGCGTTATCGATTAAAGTTATAATCGATATTAGAAAAGGACTAAAAGTAATAAAATAGTATACAAATAATAATAATGCTTCTGTTATGTTGTTCGAATGTTGGCAGTCTCACACATACTTATGGTAGCGGAATTAAACAAAATAATTCAAATCAAATAACAAGTTTAGCAAAATATGAATGGGTAATATTAATTGTTAATTAAAAAAATCTATAATTAAATGATGAAAATGAAAATGGCCCCAATCGTTCGTATAAGCTATAGAGCTATCGAATAATAATCGATTCGAACCGATTATTAAGCACTATAAAGCGCTTGAGTCCGCTTCATTTGTAGTTCCCCCGGCATGTTTGCAGAGGCTCCAACGTAGCTGCAGTCAAGCGTAAAAAGGTAGCCTCATTATGAAGCGCTGAGAAGCATAAATATTGCTTTGAAGGTTATTATTATTATTATTGGATACAGATATACAAGAAAAGTAGAACTCAACTATACCACAGATAATATAATTTTATTCATATATATATATATATATATATATATATATATATATATATATATATATATATATATATATATATATATATATATATATATATATATATTTATTTTTTTATTAAGGAATTTCGCGACTGGCTCTTGGTCACAGCAGAATATCAGTGTTTTACTCTTTTGAGGGTACAGCAATAAACTGTGTTGTGACTATTTTGTGTTACTGTGGCACACGTATGAAAGACAAAAAGTGTTACTTGCTTTATATATTTTGCTTTTTCTTTTTGTTAATGCATACTTTTATTTCGTTTCATTTATTTATTTGTTTTGTGATGATACATAGGTAACAGTACATAACAATGAACGGTGAAACAAGATAAGTCCTCTATGATGGACATCATCTATCGAGGTATACAAATTCACAAATATATATATATATATATAATAATCAGAGAGAGAGAGAGAATCTAAAAATGATTTCACTGTTTCCTATTAACTTAATTTTAGGGTAACGCCATCTGGCGTCTAAAGTTTGTAGTCTTTTTTCGTGCTTCCAAAATGTCATGACGTATTAAGATCTACACGAACTAACATATTATTATGTTAGGCACGTTTATAAAAAAATATTTGTTTCTCCACGGGAGATTTTGTAAGAAATATCGCCATTGCCAAACCGTCGACTCCGAAATCTCCTTGTTTACATAAGCCCCGTAGTATTCTATGGAAACTTTCCTCGTTGTGGCGAAGATGCATTATAATTTGAGATTTTGTTTCGAAAACACTATTTTGTCTTAATAAAATTAATACAATTCTGTTAATAATAATTAATGACACAATACGTTTGTACCAGAAATTTTTTTGTAATGTGGTCAAATAAAGAACAATAAAGAATAAAAATAATAACATATATGCCATTATAATATATATGTATGTATTTATTCCATTTTCTTATATTCGGTTTGATTTATTTATTCAAATTATAATGCACAATAATATAATATAAGTGTATAAATAGCGGATTTAACACCTAACGGCGTTCTTTACCAGTCAACTATAAGACAAGCAGAAAATTAAGTAGGTGGTGCATTTACTACTACTAATATATATATATATATATATATATATATATATATATATATATATATATATATATATATATATATATATATATATATATATATATATATATATATATATATATATATATATATATAAGAGAAAACAGAGAAAGATAAAAAAAAAGAAAGATTAATATTTTAATATTTTATGACCTCATTTTCACTTAGCAATATACCCGAACGCGTCACGAAACTCTCCAATTAAAATTTTCATATTGTAGATAATATAAGAGAAGAGAAAATAAACTTTTGTGATTAATAGCTAAAGTTCATTGTCAATTGGCGAACTTTGTTATTCGTAATGGCTTCTTAATAAACTTTTGTAAGTATTTGCTGTACTAATTAGTGACATGAAGCAATTAATGTTTAAACTAGTTAAAATGGCAAACAAGCTGACTGCCCAGCTGATAAAAGAGAGCATCCTTCCACGAACACTCAGGTTGTGGAGTAATCTTCCTGCCGAGGCTTTCTCTAGAGACTACAGCATGAGGTTCTTTGAAAAGGGCGTATTAAGGTTTCTTAATATGTCCTTTTTGTTACAGGCGTCCATGGGATATGGTAACTCTGTTTACGATCAGATAAGCGGTTATTACCCTTATACATTCTACAGTTTTTTCTCAGCATCTCAAAGGTTGACTGTAAGAGATCCCTTTATAATATAAGGGATAAGTCCGCCATTAATATATAGCTTATATATATATATATATATATATATATATATATATATATAAGCTCGCCGTGTATGTCTGGCATAAAATATACCACCACTTCCTTTCCCGTGGGTGTCGTAAGAGTAG